TCCCCTTGGTCACCCACCTCCCATTAGGCACCCCCCCCCCCCCCCCCCGCTTTTTTTGAGACAGAGTTTCTCTTTGTAATAGTTCTGGCTGTCCTGGAACTCACTCTGTAGACCATGCTGGCCTTTAAGTCACAGAGATCCATCTGCCTCTGTATCTGCAGTGTTGGGATTAAAGGCATAGGCCACCACATCTGTCTTAGGCCCACCTCCCTCCCTTTTTTTTCTCTCTCTTCAAGACAGGGTTTCTCTGTAGCTTTGGGGCCTGTCCTGGAACTAGCTCTTGTAGACCAGGCTGGCCTCGAACTCACAGAGATCTGCCTGTTAGGCCCAACCTCTTAACAATTCTACTGTCTTCCAGTAGTGCCACATTGGGACCATTCTTTTACCACACGGGACCTTGGGGGACTCACAACCTAAATGGCAACATATGCTCCTAAAGAACCCAACTAGGGGGACTGGAGAGATGGCTCAGTGGTTAAGAGCATTGACTGCTCTTTTAGAGGACCCATGTTCAATTCCCAGCACCCACATGGCAGCTCACAACTGTCTGTAATTCTAAGATCTGACACCCTCACACAGACATACATGCAGGCAAAACACCAATGCACATAAAATAAAAAATAAAAATAAATTAACCAGCCTAGTCTACAAGAGCTAGTTCCAGGACAGGCCCCAAAGCTATAGAGAAGGGGCTGGAGAGATGGTTCAGAGGTTAAGAGCATTGCCTGCTCTTCCAAAGGTCCTGAGTTCAATTCCCAGCAACCACATGGTGGCTCACAACCATCTGTGATGGGGTCTGGTGCCCTCTTCTGGCCTGTAGGGATACATACACACAGACAGAATATTGTATACATAATAAATATTTTTTAAAAAGCTATAGAGAAACCCTGTCTCGAAAAACAAAACAAAATAATGTAATTAAAAAAAGTCCCAATTAGGTTTACTTGTATATTTACCCGTGTTTATGTAGGTATGTGTTTGAGGATGGAGTAGGTGCCAGAGATCAGTCTTGGGGGTCATTTCTTAGGAGGTGAAAATATATATTATCAAGGGTCTGGAGAGATGGCTCAGGGATTAAGACCTTTTGCAGAGGACCCAGGGTTTGGTTCCCAGCACCTATGTGGTGGCTCACAACCCTGTATAACTCCACCCAGGGAACCTGGTGCCTTCTTCTGGCCTCCATAGGCACTGTATGCATGTAGCGTACAGACATGCATGCGGACAAAATAGCCACACAAACATTTAAAAATGATTATTTGTATGCATGCATGATGTGTGTGTGTGTGTGTCACGGCACACATGTGGCGATCAGGAGACAGTTCTGTGGAGTGATTTCTCCTTCCACCTCGATGTGGCTTCTGAGGACTGAACTGGAGTTGCCAAGCTTGTAAGGCAAGTGTCTTTTCCCGCTGAGATATCTTGTTACTTCGTGCTACCCTGTTTTTGACTAGTCTCTCACCAGCCTGAAACACACTAAGTAGACGAGGCTAGTGGTGGACCAGTAAGCCCCTGGAATCCATCTGTCTCCATCCCACCAATGTTGGATTGTAAGCTTGTGTTGCCACAACTTGCTTCTCTCATATGGTTTCTAGGGGTTGACCTTATGTTCTTGGGCCTAGAGGACAAGCTAACGTTTACCAATTGGGCCTATTTATTTATTATTTGGTTTTTTGAGACAGGTTTTCTCTGTATAGCCCTGGTTGTACTGTAACTCACTCTGTAGACAAGGCTGGCCTTGAACTCACAGCAATCTGTCTACCTCTGCTGGGATTAAAGGTATGTGCCACCACTGCCCAGGGCCCATTTATTTTTTGAGTCAGGGTCTCACTATGTATTCCTGGCTGGCCTGGAACTTGCTGTGTAGACAAGATTGGCTTCAAATTCAGAAAATTCTTTTTTTTTTTTTTTTTTTTTTTTGAGACAGGGTTTCTCTGTAGCTTTGGAGCCTGTCCTGGAACTAGCTTTTGTAGACCAGGCTGGCCTCGAACTCACAGAGATCCACCTGCCTCTGCCTCCCAAGTGCTGGGATTAAAGGTGTGTGCACCACCACCGCCTGGCAAGATCATGAATTCTTAAAGACATGCACCACCACACCAACAGGGCCCCTATCTTCGACATGACCTTGAACTCCTGAAATTCCACTTCCCAAGTGCCCGGACTGTAGGCGTGTGCCACAATGCCTTTTGTGGTTTTAGTTATTTATTTACTAATTATTATTTTGTTTTTTTTCAAGACAGTCTTTCTCTGTGTAACCTTGGCTGTCCGGGAACTCACTCTGTAGACCAGGCTGGCCTTGAACTCAGAGATCCATCTGTCTCTGCCTCCAGAATGCTGGGATTAAAGGTGTGTGCCACCACCACCGGGCTCGTGTGGTTTTATTTTTGAAAAAAGATTTATATTTATTTTTAGTTACACGTATATGTATGCCTGTGTGTGGCTATGTGCACATGAGTGTAAGTGTTTGCAGAAGTCAGAAGCATTGGACCCCCTTGGAAATGTGGTTACTGGTGGTTTTGAGTTCCTTGTCACTAGGAATTGGAATTAGAATAGCTTGCCACGAGGTTAGGAATTGAGTTTGGGTTCCCTGCAAGACCAGCATATGCTTAACTGCTGAGCCACCGCTCCAGTCCTCTTATTCATTTATAGACAGAGCCTCACTATGCAGCCCTGGCTGGTCTGGAACTCATGTAGATTAGGCGACTCTGGAACTCAGAGATCTGCCTGTGCCTGCTTCCTGAATGTTGGGATTAAAACTCTGTGCCACCATGTCAAGTTTAAATGCATAGTTTCATTTTATTTCTCTTTTTATTACTTTGAAAGATTTATTTTTAATTTCATGTGTGTGTGAATGTGTGTATGTCTGTGTAATTGAGTTCGGGTGCCCACGTGACTGTGAGCCACTAGTGTGGGTGCTGGGACCTGAGCTGAGGTGCTCTGGAAGAGCATGTGCTCTTAACTGCTTAAACACCTCTTTAGCTTCTTTATTTTTATTAGTTTTGTTTTGTTTTCTGAGACAGGGTTTTTCCACGCAGTTCTGGCTGTCCTGGAATGTGCCAGGCTGGCCTAGAACTCAGAGATTCACCTGACTCTGCCTTTTGAATGCTGGACTAAAGTTGTCTACCACCATACCTGACTCTGCCATTTTATTATTATTATTATTTTGATTTTCTGAGACAAGGTTTCTCTATGTAACAGTCCTGGCTGTCCTGGAACTTGCTCTGTAGACCAGGCTGACCTCAAATTCACAGAGATCTGCCTGGCTCTGCCTCTCTGAGTGCTGGGATTAATGGTGTGTACCACCACCACCACCCAGCATTATTTTGAGTCAAGGTCTTTTGCAGTCCAACTGCCATTTAAATTTTGACATGTTGTCTCAGCCTCCTGAGTGTTGAGATTATAGGTGTGTTGCTACCATGGTCAGCCATGCTAGATTTTAATGCAAGCATAGGTATTCTCAACCTAAGGTCATAAGAGACAATAAGAGATTTTCTTTTTATTTTATGTGTATGAGTGTTTTGCCTGCATTTATAGCTGTGTACCATGTGCATGCAGTTCCCATAGAGGCCAGAAGAGGGCAACAGATCCCTGAAGCTGGAATTACAGATGGCTGTTAGCTGCCACGTGCCTGGCAATCAAACTCAGGAATCCCAGAAGAGCAGCATACACCTTTAACCACTGAGCCATCTCTCCAGCCCCGAGAGACATGCTTTATAACTTCAGGAAATAATTCTTTTTTTTTACAAAGCATTTAAAAAAAGCCTCTGTGTATATAATAATAAGGCCTAATATGTAAAACTCTAAACACATCCTTTGAGAGAAGTTACTTTACAAAGTGTATATAGGCTCTTAGGAACAAAACATACAGTATGTGCTTGGATTGGAATAACAATAGAGTGGTCTGTAGGACTAAATTCTTTCCTTGAAATCCCCCCTCAAAAAAAACCCAAACTCTTACAGGTCACTTCTTTCAGACTAAGTTGATAGACAGCAGAAGAATCAAATTCTGCCCACTTTTCATTCTACAAATGTTTGGATTCCAACTATCTTCCATCACCCAGCTTCCTGAAAAGTTGTTCTCAGGCTTCTTCAGGGCTATTTATTTACAGATTGTAATGCCATGGCAACTAACAGCCACTTCTTGGGCATGGTCAGGCTGGGCAAGTCCTCAAGAGCATCAAGAGCAGTGTGAATGGACTTGGTCTTTTTCTTCCTTTTTTTTTTTTTTTTTTTTTTTTTTTTTGAGACAGACTCCTCTGCCCTATCTGTCCTGCAGCTAGCTCTGTAGACCAGGCTGGCTTCGAACTCACAGAGATCTACTTGCCTCTGCCTCCCAAGTGCAAGAATTAAAGGCGTGCACCATTACCGGCCTGGCTTGGACTTGGTGTTCTTTCCCACTAACTCATCCGAACAGACTGGTCAGCGGTAATAACGTAATAAGGATCAGCTAGAAAATCAGACGCTGGGAGTCCGAACCACCACACATCCTTGAGGAAAGGGGCAGCTGTCCTTCCCTTCTGTCTCAGCTTGAAACCATAAGCAGCAATGTCTACAACCTCAGCACTTGTGGGGGTGGGGGAGGGGCACATTTGGGGATGCAACCACAAGCCTCACACCCTACCAGTGAACTAACTATACCCCTAGCTTCTTGTTCAGTGGATTCTTGATTCTCTTCTTTGTACCCATTATTTTTAAACCTAGCACATGGAAGGCTGAGGTAGGGGATGTTTGAGGCGAAACTGTCTTACCGAGTGAGATCCTGTCTTCAGATAAACAACCCGAGTAGTCTACTTCCAGGTTCGCTAATGAATGACGCAGAAAGGAGGCATAGTGTTATAAAGTCACTCCTTCAAGCCTGGCTTTTATTAGTACCAGGAAGTTCAATGAAAGTCACTGAATAAAATTAAAAAACTGTGTGGCTGGAGAGATGGCTCAGAGGTTAAGAGCACTGGCTGTTCTTCCAGAGGACCCGGGTAATTTCCCAGAATCCACATGGTGGCTCACACCTGTCTGTAACTCCAATTCCAGGGCTTCTGACAGCCTCACACAGACATACATACAAGTAAAACACCAATGAGCATTAAAACCAATAAACAAACAAATAAATAAAAGAATTAGAAAACTAGTAGGAAGCAAATAGAGTTGCCATCCCCAGGAAGAAACTGCCCAACAGTGAGACAGTCCCGTGTTTATTTCTTCGTTCACAAATTACACACCAGCAGTTTCAATGAAACATTTAAGAAAGCGGGATATTGTGACTGTAATCGTGTGTCTCTTGACGTAAAGGAGCCACATGGATTTCTTGCTATATATTGTTCTTCAATTATAATATAAGATTAAGAGTTGAAGTTCCCACTGGAGTGGTATACAGCACTTCATTACTACCAGAAACCACAGGAATGTTCCAGAGAAACAGACTCTCATCCTTTGGTGAGATGAAATCAAGCCAAAACTCTAGGCTAGTATCAGCTGCCTGCAGATCAGCTGCGGCCCTTTAAAGCACTTAGCTTCCACAGGCACGGGTAAGTCTTTTCTGGGGATGGGGGATTTCTATCCGAGGGCAGTTAATTCCTGCAAGCAGCAGCCATCAGGACAGTGCCTCTTAACTATTAACTATTATGTGCCCTAAGTGCTCCCTGCCATCAAGACACAGCGCAGGACAGCTGGGAAGGGCCTGTCCTTTCTTATGTCAGCTCTAAACTGACACAGCCTCTTTAACTCATCTGCCCGAGCTCCCTTCCTGCGGACTAGAATGTACACTCTACACCGAGGGCCCCACGGGGATCGACAAGTCCAGTAAACAGGATTTCATCTCCCGGAGCTCCTGGACCTCAGGGCTCTCAGGGCCACAGTGCACCAACAGGATCTTTTCCGCTTTCCGTATGGCACTCAGAGCTTCAGGCACTGCCAACCTGAACCAAGGGAGGAAAGCTGGTCAGGTCACTGTCTCCTTTCTGGACAGAGGACAAAGATAAAGTTCATTCCCTCCTCTAGGGTCTTATGGAGGCAATAAAGGTCAAAGTTCACCACGCCCTCCAGGATCTTACCATCTAAAAGGGTATAAAAGAAACTTTCACAAGCACATTGAAAAGCAGTTTGAGAGCCGGGCGGTGGTGGCGCACGCCTGTAATCCCAGCACTCGGGAGGCAGAGGCAGGCGGATCTCTGTGAGTTCGAGACCAGCCTGGTCTACAGAGTTAGTTCCAGGACAGGCTCCAAAACCACAGAGAAACCTTGTCTCGAAAAAACCAAAAAAAAAAAAAAAAAAAAAAAAAAAAAAAAAAAAAGAAAAGCAGTTTGAGAAAAGCATGTGTGTGTGTGTGTGTGTGTGTGAGAGAGAGAGAGAGAGAGAGAGAGAGAGAGAGAGAGAGGCAGGCTCCAGGATCCTGAGAAAAATGGGCACACTTAAAAACCTTAATCAACATTTATGGAAGCTTTATACAGAGGTGAGAGAGAGGTGTTCATTTTAGGGTGCCCATGTCTCTCACCTGATGACTTCATGTTGTTCATTCTCTCTGAGCACATATGCTGTTTCCATGTCGGTATCAGGTCTGAGCTTCAGACCCTTTCCTTTAGCAATGTACACTATTGAATTTAATCAAGGCTGGAGGTAGGCTGGCCACACAGAAACACAACTGGGGACATACTTCACTTCAGGGGATCTCAGGGGCAAAATTGGGTGAAGGACCAGCTCATCAACTCTGCTCTTGTCTTTTGTGTGTGTGTTTTTGTGTGTGTGTGAGCATGCATGCGTGTGCAGTGCCAAGAATGGCACCCAGGGCCTTGTGTATGCTAGGCAAGTGTGCTACCAACATTCCCTTGGCTTCCTTTTTTAACCTTTAAAGCAAAGCAGGGCTTCTCAACCCTAAGGTAACTGTCTTGGGTGCTGCAGCGTGGAGCTGCCCGTGCAGGGTCAGCCTCTCCCCACCGGACGCTGGCAGTGCCCTCCTTCAGTTCTCAAGGATCACAGTTGTCTCCAGACACTGGCCAGGGCATCCGCAGGCAGAGTTCCTTCTGCTTCAAAACAACTGCTTTAAAAGGAAGAGGATGCAAAGCAGGGGAAAGGCAGAGCCCTGGAGCTGAGAGTGCTGGGAAGGAGCAGCCCAGGGAGGTGTGAGTGGGCCCAGAGGAATGCTGGAGGGCGGGTGGGGCTGCCTGGAAGCCCTCCCTGGGAAACTCAGTTCAGACCTGAGAGAGCTTTCTGCACAGCTCTCAGGAGGAAATTCAAAGCTTAAAGTCTGTCAGTGAAGCAGAGGGCAAAGATTTGTCCTAAAGAGGAAATAGAAGGGTTTCAACATGCTTAAAAGCACCGCAGAAGTCATCCACAGAAGTGCCTAGTAAAACACAGAACAGTACGTGCCCTGGCCAAGGGCTAGGAAGAGGAAAGACCTACCCGTTGAACAGGACTTGGGCCAGCTTGAAGAGTTCATGGCCGATTTCAACACTGGATGGCCCATGGCGAGCTTCAACCACACGGACACTCTTCTGTATGTGGGCAGCAGACTTCCGCCAGTCTCCTGGGAGAACAGTCTCATTCCAGAAAGAACCGCCATCCACCCAAGGCTCTCAGGGTGAGGGAAACAGAAAGGAAGGGAGAGCCAAACAGACAAGGCAAGGGCCACAGCTGAACACCAGGCAGGGAAGGAAGACCACAGCATACCTAAGGCAGCATGCGCCTGCGCCAGCCCATCTTCAATCTCCCCCACCATGGTGTGCTCTGCGGACAAGAAGCTCTCGGCAGCCTCCCGGCACCCCAACAACTGCTGGACAGCTTGCTCTATTGAGTCAAAGGAAAAGCACCTCACAACAGACAGACCCAGACACGAGAGCCCGGGTTGCAATTCTCCATTGGCTGGGCCAGTGTGGAAATGCCCCCTGTTTCCCTCAGTCAAGAATCCAGCATTCCAGGAAAGCTGTTGTCTCTTATGTTTTCTTTTTCAGTAGAAAAAGGTGCTAGATGAGCCCCCCCCCCCCCCCCCCATTTACTCTGGGCTCCTAACACCCGTTTTCCAGTACAGCCAACTCCACAGCCCACCTGTAGTGCTTACTTCCCTTGACTCTAGGCTAAAGGTCAACTTCACAATGTAGGTTCAAACAGGTGAAACAGAGCCCTACCATGTCAGAGTCTAATAGTAAGTTTCACAAAGCCCTTTCTTTCCTTGCTCCCTCTCTCAGTGCTGGGGCCAGCTATGTAAGCTCTGCCCCCGAGTCATAGCACCAGCCCAGAGCAGGATCCACTGCTTCTGAGGGCAGAACAAACTTCCCAAGCGGTCAGTCGTCAGGCTTAGAGTTAGGATAAATGACATGGGACTTCTGGAGACACACAAAGCTCATGGAAGTCGGAAAGTCTTTCTGGTGCTCGAGCTACTAGATAGAACTATCAGACACAGAAGACACAGCTTAAACCACCCAGTATACTCTTTCAAGGACACCAGACGGCTGTAGGGTTTGGTCTCACTGGCCTATATAGCCACCTTGTGGCTGGTGCCGGGATAATGAAATTCCAGTCCTCAAAATCATTTACTGAGGACTATGAGAGCAAGGTGATAGCAGAATAAACCAAAGGGGCGGGGCTGGAGAGCCAGCAGGAGCCAGTCTCACCTAGTTTCCCATTTCTGAGAAGCTTCTGGGCCTCACACACCTGCTGCTGAAGGTCCTGGAGGCGGGAGGCCAGGTGGGCCCTGCTGACAGATTCTCTGCAAGATTCGTTGCTGCAGCTCAGCACATCGTTTCCCTGTGGAAGCCCAGTTCTATCGTTATTCCTATGTCAGGACAGTTATCAACACTGCATGTCGCATGGACTTGAGCTACAGGGTCTCTGACCTGATGGGGAAAAGAGACTCCTGCAATAACACGTTGCCAACAAGGCCTGAGTGAATTTGGTCCAGCAGCAATTCTAGTGAAAGCAAGAGCTGATCCCACTCCGAGGTTTAATTTTTGGACAGAAACGATCCACCTTGCCGGGCGGTGGTGGCGCACGCCTTTAATCCCAGCACTTGGGAGGCAGAGGCAGGCGGATCTCTGTGAGTTCGAGACCAGCCTGGTCTACAAGAGCTAGTTCCAGGACAGGCTCCAAAACCACAGAGAAACCCTGTCTCGAAAAACCAAAAAAAAAAAAAAAAAAAAAAAAAAAAAAGAAAAAGAAACGATCCACCTCGGCAGCCCCTCTTCTTTTTTTGGGAAAAGGCCTTTAGATGATGGACATAAGTATATTGGGTGTTTAAAAAAGCCATAAGAAAACCAATATAGAAGGCTGGACATGGTGACACTATTGCTGTAATAGTGGCACTTGGGACTAGAGATAGAAGATGACAAGTTTGAGGCCAGCCAGGACTATGTCATGAATTCATGAGTTCTAGACCACCCTTGCAAGGGGAAGGAGGAGAGGAAGAAGCAGCAGAAAGAAGAGAGATATGGCTCAGAGGATAGAAACATTTATTGGAAGAGCTGGAGAGATGGCTCAGCAGCTAAGGGCACTGGCTGTTCTTCCAGAGGAGCTAGATTCAATTCTCAACAACCACATGGCAGCTAACAAATGTCTGTAACTCTGTTTCCAGGGAATCTGACACCTTCACAGAGACATGCATGCAGGTAAAACACCAATGCACATAAAATAAAAATAAATAATTTTTAGAAAGAATCTATTGGATTCAAGTCCTCAACCAATCATTTACTGAGGAAGAAAGTCAGGTGCAGTTCTGCAGGCCTGTAAAAATCTCAGTACTTGGGAAGTTGGAGCAGGTGGATCTCAAGTTTGAGGTCTTCCTGGGCTTTGAAGTGAATTCTAGGCTAGTTGGGTGTGGTGGTTTGAAAGAAAATGGCCCCCAAAGGAAGTGGTTAGGAGCTGTGACTTTGTGTCACCGCGGGGCAGGCTTTGAAGTCTCTTTTCTCAAACTTTACTTAGTGCGACAGTCAACTTCCTATTGCCTCTGAGTCAAGTCATAGGGCTCTTAGCTCCAGCACATCTGCCTGCAGGCCACCATGCTCCCCACCACGATGACCTCTGAAAACTAAGCAAGTCATCCCAATTACATGTTTTCTAAGAGCTGCCAAGGTCATGGTGTCTCTTCACATCAATAGTAACCCCAAGACATTGGGGATACACAATGAAACCCCGTCTCAAAAGAGCAAGAGTGAAGGAGAGTTAATCTAAAGGGTGCTAGGGCCCAGCATGGTGGTGCACAGTTTTAATCCCAGCACTTGGGAGGCAGATGGATCTCTATAAATTCTAGGCCAGCCAAGGCTACACAGTGAGATTCTGCCTAAAAAACAAACAAAAGAAAAAGTGTGGGCTGGAGAGATGGCTCAGAGGTTGAGAGCACTGGCTGCTCTTCCAGAGGTCCTGAGTTCAATTCCCAGCACCCACATGGTGGCTCACAACTGTCTATGATGAGATCTGGTGCTCCCTTCTGGTGTGTATAGCCCTAGCACCCTTTGTATGCAGGCTGAATGCTGTATACATAATAAATAAATCTTTTTTAAAAAGTGCTAGGTAAGGCTTCATATTTAACCCTTGGGTTTACAATTGTAGCTTCTCAATACAATTAATTCCACTTACAGTATTCCTAACAAGAAGGCCATTCTCTGGAAGTAGAGATAATTTTTATCTGGGCATAAATATTGAAGACTCCAATGTCTATGCCATTATTTGGCACTAGCCACCCAATTTCTCTAACGATTTGCCCTATTCTCCCAAGGTCAATGCCGTTGGCTGAGGGGTTCAGATGTGGTTCCTTCCTCTGGGTCAAACGGCTGAAGGAAAACTATCTGGGTCTGATTTTTCCCACAGTTTCTGCATTGATAACACACAATAAGACTTCCACTCAGACTGATTTTGGACTGGGACATGTTTTCATCTTATTGGGCTGGGTGGACAAGGAGGCTGAGGTGGTGGCAACCATCTTGTCACCATGGGAGAGGAGTATGTCTAATGAGGCCAGCAGAGGGAACAGGGTTAGGAAGACAGAAAATCTGGGTGTTGGCAATGTTACCTGAGCCCGTAGATTAAGCTGTACCGAAAACAGTGCTCTGGAATGTTATTTTATTAGATGGGGTCTCACTTGAGATTGGCCTCAGACTTGAGATTCTTTTGCCTCAGTCTTCTGGGTGCTGGGGTTACAGGCATGAGCCAAGTACCAGGTCTGACACAGAACTTTTAATGATTTATTTGAGCAAGTAAATTTCTAGTTTTTTTTTCTCCCCCAGGGTCAAAGTTAAGCCTTTGTGTCATTTGTAAGGAAAGCGTTACTAAGTCCAACCTGACCCTGTGTGTTCGCCGGGTCGGGCAGCATGTTTGGACGACTTCCTAAAATGAAGTGATACCAGTGCTCTCTAGAAACCCCCGGTCGTTTGCCCTCGTGACTCCTTCGGGCTGGAGCGCTTATCTGGGAACAGCAGAGGTTTACCTGCATGAGTGCGCTGCATGCGTTGCAGCAGAAGGCTTCCCACCTGGGCTCTACAGCTGCTCTGAGTGTCTCAGTGTGACAGGCTGGACAGCTACAGTCAAAGAAGTACTGTGACCTCAGCTTCTGCTGCCTCTCAGCAACACCCATGCGGCTCTGATGTGGCCCTGGAGAGAGATCACCCACAGTTACCACTCACACCCAGAGAGTCAAAGCCTACTCAACAGAGGGCTGGGATATTCCTCATATGACGGGAGTCAGGAAGCTGGGCTGGGGCTCTGGCTCAGACCACCACATTGGGGAGTGGAGGCACCAGCCCTGGGCCTGCTCACTCCTGTCCACCTATCCTTTTCAGGTGGGGCAGGGCAGGGCGGTGCAAAGAAAGGAAGGCTGGCTCACCATAGCAGTGCACAATCTCTTGTCCCTTTCTGATGTGCTGTGCTGCCCGGATGGTGGCAACAGTGCCAGTGAAGGACACACTCGTGTTGGGGCTGCAGGAGTGGTTCAGGAGGCTGACGACAGGAAAGATGCCTGTGGCAAGGCGGACCTGCCTGCTGTTGGTCACGATGCTCTCTTCAGACCCTGACAACGCACAAGAAGGAAATATGCATCAGGATGTTTGTCCAGTCCTTACATCTATTCTCAGAAGATGAACTGAGCAGCTGGGCCTGAAGCCCATCTGAGTCATGGCTCTGCAGCCGGATCCAATATAAATCAGATGGAACATGACTCATAGCAAACTCTGGTCCCCAGGAAGCAAAATGAATGAGTACACGAAAAGTCCACTGGAGTCTAATCGTTATGCCTGTATGCCACTCAAAAAACCCAATATTGGAATTTATTAAAAAGAATCAAAAAGGGATTATCAGTATGGCACTTTCTAGAGTTTCATAATGTTCAAAGGGCGCAGAATCATAGTATCCCTGAGATTATCTCCCCATGATTTCTAAAGTCCGGTTGCTCTTGTTTAATTGGCCCTGGTTGGTTATTGGAATAACTGTCCTAGTTAGTGTAGCATACTTTATATACTCGCTCAGCCTTCTCCACCCTGCCCTTTGTCTAAACTTTTTGGCGACTGCTCTGCAGTCTCATGTAAGCAAACCATCTGTACTTGTTTTACTGAAGGCAGACTTACACGTCCCAGACAAGCTCTTTGTGGTACACTCAACCAGTTAACAGCACTGCAAAGATGAAAGGAAGAGAAAGGGCCTCTAGGCAGTGATGCTAGTCTGCGTGAGTTTTTCATACTCATGTGCACAGCTATGCTCACGTTGGGTTTTTGTTGCTATGACAAAATCACTTTTAAAAAAAGCAAAGGAAAGGTAAACTGACCGATGCAAGCTTGTAATTCTAGCATTTGAGCAGCTAGGACGGGAGGATCAGCCTGGGCCATATAACTGATCCTGGCTCAAACAAAACATAATCAAAACCAAAACTCAACCAAAACAAGCAACAAAAGAGGCGTTGAGGTTTCCTTCCACTATTCCCTACCGCCCACAAGTTAACGATGGTCAAGGCTTTAGCAAAAGGACCGTGGGTGATATGCAAGATCAAAACTCTGACAGCCTACATGCTCTTCAAACAAAATGCCAGTTGACTTAATGATGCAGTTTCTCATGCCAGAGAAGTTCAGAAGTAGAGAACTAAGATGTGGGAATATATGGTAGGGTTTTCTGATAATGACAAGAAAGACAGGGATGGAGTAGAGGAGGCAGGAAACTCCTGAGTAACACAACAGTCCTAGGGCAAACAAACCCCATTCCCACTCAAGTCTCATCACACACGGAGCATTTCACTTAACTAGAGGCTTCTAGAGGGACTGCACACCTACCACGGTTTCCGTAATAGCCAAACATATGCCAGAAATAGGTATGATACGTCTAATGTTGGCTACCTAAAAGGCTTAAATTAAGATCACAGTCTCCGTTTAAGCAGGAGGAAAATCATATTTCCAACAAACTGGTTGAAATGTGAAAAACACTGATACTTTAAAGGAAGCAGTTTCCTAAAAAACTGGGAAACCATCAGATTACTGGTGCTGCTGTACACGTGCCAGGAATCTCAACTAGTCGTTTATCAGAGAAGTAACTAGTCTGGATACAAATGTAATGAGCAAAGAAAACACCACGAACCATCATGTGAACATGTTTTACAAGGGGAAAATTAAATAGAAAAATTATGTTGTTTCTCTGCAGACAATTCTATTATCTGTTGCTATGGGGGACAAGCATAGGACATGTAAATACAATTCACAGGGAATCCAAATGACTCAATTTTAGTCAACAGTTCTACAAACTGCATTTAAAATCTTTCATCAGAGCTTTTCCTAAGTGTTTAGCTGATTTGCGCCCCTCTCCTGGCTCCCGAAGCCTACCTTCTGGAATATGTGCTAATGAGCAGTGAAAATGCTAGAAGGTAGGCAGCAGGAAGGAGCAGAACAGGGCACGAACAATTTGTCGTCTGAATAATCAGCGTCTGCATAATTAAAAGTTGACTTGCATTCTCAACTACAGATAACTGGCAGTCTGTATTAGAACAGTTGCTAAAATTTCCTCCGAAAAGAATGATTGCAACACAGTGAGTAATGTCAGCATCGTGAGTTATTTATAGGGTCTCCTCCCGCAGAAGCAGGCTCAGGAACTGAGTGGGGTGCCCGTGTCAGAGTTGAATGTCTCTCTAATTATTTCTAAAAAATTGAGTATTGATTTTGAAAACTTACTCAATCTTTTGCATTAGTCATCTATTAGTGGAGATAATAGGAAGAGGGGGTATCTACGCACGTTATCAACCAAATTTAATGGGTGACATTTTGGATATAAAAATAAGTGTGAGTGATTCTTTAGCAAAAGTGTACCTTGGATTTCAAAGTGTCTCTGGTACGTTTCAAATGGGATTTAAGTTAAAAAAAAAAAAAACAACAGCAAGACTCATTGGTACTTCTAGGACACAGCTACCCTGATAAATAGTCTGCAAATGAGAAGCGTGTGGAGGTGATCAGGTCAAACCGAAGTAAACCAAAGGGCAGTTAGCTGATTCAAGACCACACAAATCCTCATCAAGGCTTGTGAAGACACAGATCCAGATGCAACACAGATGTGCCCTTCTCACGGGGACAGAAACACCCCCATACTAAGAATATCATCAGTGGCCAGACCTGTCCCTTGAGATGGGAGAGAGGTTTTTGAGGAACTTTGATTAAAAAGAATTTATGCGAAGATAACATACATTTTTATAGGTTTTTGTCAAAGTCTATCCTAGTTAACACTTTAATCCTTCTTCTGTGGCACTAATGAAACAGCTGCTAATGAAATTCAATGAGAACACTAAACTGGGAGGTGTTGGAACCCCAAAGAAACAATAAGAAGGGATATAACGAGATTAGAATTATGAGCAGACAGTAAGAAAACGAGAGCGAGCACTGCTGGTGGCTGGTAACTGGTACGACTCACCTGGAAGCAAATTTGCAGTGTGTATCGAGTGCCTTAAAAATGCTCCTATGGAAATATTCTTAGCACTTAGATCGCTTCTATTATAAAAAAACTAATTAAAACTACAAAAGAATACATGGTAGTTATGTAAAAATTAGAAACTGAAAATACAGAGACAAGGACTGCCATCCAAAACCCAATTAGGCAAGTCCAATGTTTTGATGTATTGTCTTTGCAGTGAGTGGCCCTTCTAGTTCTACGTATGGAATTATTACTATTATTATAATTTGGACAGAATCTTGCTAGATAGCCCAAGCTGGCCTTGAGCTCACCATTCTCCTGCTTAGGCTCATAAGTGCTGAGATTGTAGGTATGGGGCATCATACCTGCTGTATGGAATTTTTAACATAATTTGTGATGATGGCATATAATGATTTGTAAGTTATTTCTTTTCACATAATATACCATGGCTATTAAAAAATGCCCTGCTCTAAAATGCATTAAAAATGTAATTAAAAAACAAACCTGTAAATGGAGACTGCTTGTTCATTTCCTGGCCATCCAGACCTGAATAATCACTCAGAAACTATATTAATTACAACATTGTTTGGCCAATAGCTTAGGCGTATTCCTAGCTAGCTCTTACATCTTAAATTAACCCATTTCTATTAATTTATGTATCACCATGAGGCTGTTGCCTACTGGTAAGGTTCTGGTGTCTCTTTTCTTCAGCAGCCACATAGCATCTCCCTGATTCCACTTTCTTTCTCTCTGTATCTCTGTTCGGATTTCTTGCTGGTTTTACTCTGCTAAGCCATTGGCTAAAACACCTTTATTCATGAACCAATGAAAGCAACACATATACAGAAGTATATCCCATATCACAAACCAACTATCTTAGGGCTTCTATTGTTGAGATAAAATACCATGACCAAAAATTACCTGGGGAGGGAAGGGTTTATTTCCTCCTACAACTCTCAGGTGACATGCCTTCACTAGGGGAAGTCAGGGCAGGAACTCAAGGCAGGAACCTGGAGTCAGGAACTGAAGTGGGAGCCATAAAGGAATGCTGCTTCCTGGTTTGCTCAGCCTGGTTTTATATATACCGCAGATCACCTGCCCGAGAGTGGACCACCCACAGTGGTCTGTGCCCTCCTATATCAATCACTAATCAAACTTGCCTACAGGCCAATCTTCTGGAGGCATTTTCTCAATTAAGATTCCTTCTTCCAAGATATATCTTGGTTTGCACAGAGTTAACAAAAACTAATCAGGACAACAACAAAATGACTGCCAATCTTACAGGCAAGGAGGCATCTCAGTTTTACTTGTATAGACTGGAGGTGTTTTTATCATGACAATGTGCTTTCTCGTGTGCATTTATAAAGGTTTCATCAAGAGGCTGTGGGTGTAGCTCAGTTGCTAGGCAAACACAAGGCCCCGTGTTTGATCTCTGACAGTGGATACACTCAGAACAAAACAAAAATATACAGAATGGCCGGGCGGTGGTGGCGCACGCCTTTAATCCCAGCACTCGGGAGGCAGAGGCAGGCGGATCTCTGTGAGTTCGAGACCAGCCTGGTCTACAAGAGCTAGTTCCAGGACAGGCTCCAAAACCACAGAGAAACCCTGTCTCGAAAAACCAAAAAAAAAAAAAAAAAATATACAGAATGCATGACAGACACAGGTTAAATTCTGCTAGGCACGGTAGTGCATCCCAGCGCTTGGGAAGTGCAGGCAGGAGCTCAAGGTCTCCCTCAGCTATGCAAATGAGTTTCAGGCCAGCCTGGGCTATGAGGGACTCTGCCTCAAAAATTTATTTCCAGTTAAATACTATTATTTTATTTTATGTCTAGAGATGTTTTGCTTGCATGTATGCATGTAATGCCCTTAAGGCTAGAAGGTATCAGATCCCCTGGAAATGGAGTTATAGACTGTTGTGAGCTGCCATGTGGTTGCTGGGAATTGAATCCAGGTCCTTTGAAAGAGAAGCCAGTGTTCCTAACCACTGAGCCATCTCTACAGCTTCCCTTAAGTTAAATATTAAAAAAAAAAAAAAGCAGCTTCTAGGGCCTGAGGAGATGGCTTAGTTGGGGAACTATTTGCTACATAAGCATGAGGACCTGAGCCCTCAAGTAACAAATTGGGCATACA